CAAATGGGATTCAAAGAGCTCTTGATGGTTTCTACCACAGTTAGAGGTGTACATTTCCTACTAGCGCGAGGAGCACGTGATGTATAGTGATTTCCTCCTGGTTGGAATCAAATATAAAGTTCTTAGCTAATTAAGTATGCAGTAGCTTGTGATTCAGAGTGGATTATGAAGTTCTCGTATCTATCATAGGATGTCATGGTATATGTGGTGTACTATGTAGGATCGTGATTTGGTATGTGCAAGGTCACGGTTCAGTTTTGAAAGGAAGGTCATAAATTCTTAGGCAGCATGGACAGTTTCATATGAATAGGTAAATGGCATTACTATTTGGTATGGCGTGAGGAGAGTATACATTTTAGAAGGGGCAATGTGTTTGATTTATGGATATGTCATTGGTATTGTACATTCTCTTGTTTGATTGACTACTGGTGTTCGAATTTTCCTTTGTGGCACAGAAGAATTATAAAAGTATTCCTCTTGGGATTATCATGTAGTGGAGAAGTTTTAGACAAACAGGCGGTAGATTTGAGATCAGATATGATGATTTGTGTGTTTTATGGATTTGGAGACTGGGAGTTCTCATGAGTAGATTATTTCGTGGATGTGGACTGTGAAAATGTAGCCAAGGTTGGGTAGAAGATAATATGCATTGTGATTCAGTCATTGTGGACTTTTGGAGGAATATTTATTTATTGTGGGTGACCAGAGTTGATTTGGGGTCCATTGGTAGGCTAATATGGGTGTGTGCTCTACCGGGTCGGATTTGTTGACTCCGAACTGCTATTGTTGTGGGATGTGCCATTTAGTTGTTGTTGAGCTTATTCGTGTTCTGAAATGATCTGCGAGTTACCCTTCTATATTACGAGGAGTTGTGAACTGTTGCTTATATGCACACATGGTGCGGTTCTATTGGGGATTTATAGCGGAAATTTGAGCCAAATGAGTACTTTGGTATTGCGTGATTGATTGCACGTTGGCTATGTTCTTTCCGGATGGTGGCATTGTGTTATTTTCTCTCCGTCGTTATGGTAATGCACTTTGAGTGCTTGATGTCAAATTTTTCGGGGTTATTGATTTTGAGCAAGGCAGCTCGAGGTATATAATATGGACCAGCGTTTGGATAGGGTCATGCATTGTAGCAGAGTTGTATTGGGGTATGATCCATTGCGTGAGATTCGTGTTTTTTGGTTCAACAGTGTGTGATGGGTTCTTAGCATTACGTTTTAGTGATACCCATTGAGCTTGCAGGACGGTTCTCTTATTGAATGTCTTTTTCCATGTTTGAGTACATTTGGACTGTTAATTATTGGTGCACAGATTGCAGGGGTTGTGGCTTCAGATTGTATTAATGGGTCATGTCGCTAGAGTGGTCGCGTTGGATGAGATGGGGTCATTGGACATAGAATGAATACTATCGGTATTGATTACAGCGTGGTTGGAAGAATAATATCAAAAGCCAACTTAGAAATTTTCTAAGTTCCTATCGAAAGAGAGGGAGTTCCATAACTTGTTGATCTGACGAGTAGTTATTAGTTTCGGCATGTTTCTTTCATCATTGGTAGTATATGAAAGTGTTAGAATGAGGTTTTGTTAGATGCGAGGTTTATTACCGGTATTGGGTTGTTTTGAGTAGCTACTGCAATTAGGAATTATCGCTATGAGTGTTTGAATTATGTGGTATATCATGTGATTGCATCTTGGGGTACAGATATGGCTTGATACAGCTTGTTCAGACTTATACAATGTGTAGATGCGAGATTCTGATCTTATAAAAAATTTCGAATGTGAAAAATTTGGTTCTAAGGCTTATGGGTTAGTTTCGATTAAGAAATTTCAGTCATGTTGTGTTATCAAACCTATATGGGATAGGGTGACGTGGGATCACCCCCGGGTATGCGTGTAGCAAGATTATACAGCGATTTGATGGCTTTTGGAACAACTCTGGGCACATTCAAGGACAAACATATGTTTAAGTGGGGAATGATGTAACGACCCGACCAGTCGTTTTGAGCAATTACACTTTACTCAGTAGTTTTCGGGCATGAGTAGCTCCGTATGATGTATTATGACTTATGTGAATTATCGGTTTGGGTTTTCAGGTTATTCGGGATTGATTTGGAAGAATGATTCTCAGCTAGAAGCTTTAAATTTGAAATGTTTGACCAAGTTTTGACTTTTAGTATTTGACCTCGGATTGGATTTCTTATGGTTCCGTTAGCTCTGTTGGGTGATTTTGGACTTAGGAGTGCATATGGATTGTGATTTGGAGGTCCGTGGTAGAATTTGGCTTGAAATGACAAAATTTGGAATTTTGGAAAGTTTGAGCGGGAGTGGACTTTTTGATATCGGGGTCGGATTTTGATTCCAGAAGTTGGGGAAGGTCCATAATGTCTAATGTGACTTGTGTGCAAAATTTGAGGTCAATCGGACGTGATTTGATAGGTTTTGGCATCGCTTGTGGAAGTTGAAGTTTCAAAGTTCAATGATTACGAATTGAGGTGTGATTTGTCGTTTCAATGTTGTCATGTGCATTTTGAGGCCTGGAGTATGTTCTTGTGATGTTATGTGACTTGCAGGTATGTTTGGACGGAGTCTCGAGGGGCTCGGGCATGTTTCGGATCGATTTCGGATCATTTCATTTCATGTTGCATAGCTGAAGGTTTCTGGTTTTGGTATGACCACACCTGTGGCTGATTTGCGCAGGTGCGATGGTCGCATAAGCATTCGTGGAGTCACAGAAGCGAGAAGTGGCCGGGTGAGAAAGACCGCAGAAGTGGATTTATTAGCACACCTGCATGCAGATGCGGAAATTGGAAATGCAGGTGCGTAAGGCTTCGCAGAAGCGGGATTTGACATCTACAGGTGCAGGGGATTTCTAGCAATGTTATTTTCGCAGAAGCGGACTTTTACCGCAGATGCGGCAATTGTACCGTAAATGCGGAAAGTGCTGGGCAGAGTTATAAAAATCGAGGGTTTTATTCTTCCTTCATATTTTGAAATGTGGGACTCGGATTGAGGCGATATTTGGAGTTATTTTCATCACAAGGATTGGGGTAAGTGTTCTACACTCAGTTTTGATTATATTTCATGAATGTATCTTCATTTTTAGCAATTGGTTGATGAAATGAAAGAGGAAATTGGGGGTTTTGGCTTAAAATTTCATAATATGAATTTTTGAGTTTTAAACACCGATTTAGAGTCGATTTTAGTGAAACAATATGGTTTGACTCGTAATTGAATGGGTTGTCGGATTTTGTGAGTTTTGTCGAGTTTCGAGGCGTGGGCACGAGTACCATTTTTGGAGGGATTTGAGATTTGACTTCGGATTTGATCTGTATCATTTGTATTGCTTCCTTGTGTTTTATTTGATGTATTTGAGTTGCTTTTGGCTAGTGTTGAGCCATTCGGAGGTCGCTATGCATGTGATGGCATTCTTGAAGCATCACTTGGCTTGCTCGGTGTCAGAATTGGCCTGTCTAAGATAAGTAACTCTTCTAAATTTAGTGCTGAGGATATAAAACCCTGAATTATGTGTTTTGTGATTGGTGTTGAGGTGACACATATGCTAGGTGATGGGCGTGTGGGCGTGCACCCTATGAGTTGTGACTTTGTTATTACCTGGGCACTGTTTAGTGGCCCATTTTGTTGATATTTGTGCTTTTCACCATGTGATAAAATAATTTAGTTGTACATCATGCTAAATATCATGTTTAGGCTTTATGCTGATATTGTTAGGACCCATAGTGGTCGTTTCTTGTTGTCATCTCATTGATTTCATTGATATGTCGTACTCAGTTGTATTCATGCATTCATATCATATCTCAGTCTCAGTTGTTGCTTATTGATACATCATATCATTATTCCGGGTAAGTTTTCATGACATTGTGAGCCCGTGGGTGAGACTGGAGAGTGATGACTGAGTGAGGCTGAGAGCTTGGTTATGAGTGACAATTATTGGATCGGGATGTATGCCGCAATAGTTATATTGATGATTATGATAGCGCTTGGGCTGTAGGAGTCTCTCCGGAGTCTGTAACACACCTCTGGTGAGCGCGGATGATATTATTGATGGATGGATTTCTATGGACATGGATTTGTCCGAAGTATTGATATATGGAGATGGATTTCTCCACAGGGATGGATTTTCCTTTTTCCCCGGTACCAAGTGACGTCTAGTCATTGTTGAGTATGTTCCAGGATGAATTTCCCTAGGCCGCATGGGCCATATATTATACCGGGTGGTTGAGCATTTATATATTATTGAGGGATGGATTTACCTGGGCATGGATGTGTCCGAAGTACTTGATACCTGGAGATGGATTTCTCCACAGGGTTGGATTACCCTTTATCCTTGGTACTGGGCGACTTACAGTCAATGTTGTATATGCTCCGAGATGGATTTCCCTGGGTCGTATGGGACATATACAGTACCGAGTGGTTGAGTGGGATGCAGTGAGGTTGAGTACTCGGAGAGTGTGAGTACATGATCCTTCTATGAGGTACATGGCATTGGCATATATATATGGCATACATACATAGAGACGCATTTTTCCTCATGTTGTACGACATACATCGATATGTCATTATAGAGAAGTATTTCACACTTGTTATTTGAAAAAGGAAATGAAACATGTTTACCTATTGTGGGAAGGATTTTCAGGAAAAAGTTACAATTTCCAAAACTTACTCATATTTTTAACGATTTTTTTTTGGCAATCCCCTAGGCAAGCATATAGGGCTCAATTTTTTATTAATAAAAGAAAAATAAAAATACAACAATTAGGAAAAGTATAAATAAGGGGGACAATAGCACAGGTATTGTTACCCATATGCCTTGGCTATATAATCACTCCTCTGCGCCTCACATTGCCTTATGATGGCAGCCTTATGTAGAGGATTCATGGTGTAGCTGCCGGCAAAGTCTCACGAGGGCATATAATCTCATAGCCGTGTGGATAATTTTTCAAAGGCATAGGACCAAGGCAACACTAACCGTGCTAAACCTTACCTTACCAATCCTATTGAGGCAAAGATAAAGCCTCATCTTCTAGCAAGCATGTAAAAAATAGGAACTTGAAAGTACCAAGTACTCTATGATCGCCATAGAGTTTATAACACACTCTATGACGCTATTACAAGTGATGATGCTTTGAAAATGATAAACTAAGACAATGTAGAAATTAGAATCTTGCCCCTCATTTATCAAACTTGTGAGTTCTTCAATTTGAACTTCTTCGGAGTCTTCTTCTGCTTGATCCTCCCATAGTTTGCCGCTAGTCAAAGCTAATCTATCTTTCTCATTCACATGTTCAGATATACCATATGTATCCATTGACTGAGATGGGATATCTTGACACGATTGATTAGTGGTAACTAACTTGCTTCCAAAAACCTTATTAGCCCATTGTGCAGTAGGTTCTTGTTGTGACTGTGATTGGTTTAAATTCTCTTTATCAATAAGCTTAAAAGCAGTAGCATTTGGATTTAACTGCTTCGTCACTTTTGATAATCCGTGTGTCTGACAGTAAGAGTTGTTATTGTATTGGTAACATCTGCTGCTACAATTACCTTCCCATTTGGCTCCATATTAGCTATGTTATTTAGAGCATATGTTCCTCCTTTCCCCATCATATGATTTCCTTCATTTGCATCACATTGTTCCATTTCTAGAACTGCAAATCTGTTTATAGTTTGAAACTTGTTTGTCTGATCATCTTCGATCTCCACCTGTGCCAAAATATTAGTCTTCTGATTCTGATGAGTTACATTATTCAATGTAATTATCTCATGCCCAGTTTTGCTTTGAACAACATTCTCATTATTGACATGCTTCATCATGCACAGTTTTGCTTTTGACCTGTGAGGATCATACTAGTTCCTGTAGCATTAGCCTTGCCCTTCAACGTATTCTGAATAGGAGCAGTGTCACTGCCCATGCCCTGTGTCTGAGTGACATTGTCACTCTCTTTCACGTGGTTGGCATCTCTTATTGCATTCAACAATTGCCTTGCATCTCCCTGAAGCTTTTCTGTAGAAATTTGGTCCAAATCAGTTCGATGTGTTTCCTCTGATTTTTCCTCTGCATATTTATTTCTCCCTTTCATCGATCGACATGAATTTTCATCATGTCCTTGGTGCTTACAACCTGTAAAATACATTGGAAGATGATCATACACAACCTTTTGGTGGAAATCAGTAGATTTTCTAGAAAGTTTGTCGACGACTAAAATCTTGATTTTTTTGGATGCTTATCCAACAGATCCAACAACACCTTGACCCTCGCAACACTTGGCCTTGTTAGATCTTTTGTCGTTTTGTCAATAGCTAGAGGTTTTCGAACTGTTGATGCAATTGACATCAAAGATATTTTGGCAAAATAATTTGGTGGAAGCTCTGGGAATGAGATCTATACCACTGCCTTCGACGTCTCTACTTTTGGATCGAATCCAATCGTCCAAGGAAATGTTATGAAGAAGAACTCGTCTCCTTTGGAGTTAATGTGCCCAGTAGATCTGGAAACAAAATTGACATAATCATCATAAAGATCAAATCGTACCAGTATGTGTCTAAACTCCAGCTGCCCGATGTTACAAGATCCTTTCACATCGAACTGATTTGAAAAAGTTCTTCTGAGATCGTGAAGTTCTAGTTTTCCATAAGAAAACTTGATGATGACTGCTTGGTGTAAACCTTCCTCTATGACGAATTCTTTCACCTCATCTGTGGTGAATTCAATAAATGGTTCTCCGTGTTCAAATCTGACTGGACATAGCACTATATTTTGGTTTTGTCGCACAATTTCTTTTGAAACACTTGCTGCATAAGTCAATTTAGGGGGATTGTTGATCCTATCTGCTTGAAAATTTTGCTCTCCCACAGCCAAAGGCTGGGGAGAGGTCAACGTTGCTATGGCTGCTTTAAACAAGCATGAAGAAGCTCAAAGAAGCTCAACGATGAAGAAGCTCAAAATTGTGTTCGCTTTGACTTCGGTAGAGGATTTGAGCTTTTATTGGTATACTTGAGAAGTGAAACTATTTTCGAAAAATTATGAAAAATCTGAGCACTTTATTTCTGAGCTATTTCCTTATTTATTTGCTCTATATTGTATGAACTAGTGTTGGTTATTTGTGTTGGACCCGACTTATGTACCAGCTCATCACTGCTTTCAACCTGAGGTTATGTTTGTTACTTTTTGAATACATGGGGTCGGTTGTACTCATACTGCACTTCCTGCACATTGCATGCTGATCCTGGATGCTGATGTTGCTGCGATCGCTAGTTGATGGATTTGAAGGTGTACCTGCATTCCTGCTGTATGCTGCCTCTTGTTCATGATAGCCTAGATTATAAAAGTCTATTTATGTACTTTTCCAACAGAAGATGTATTTTCTTCATAACAGCTTTGTAAACTCTATTTTTAGAAGCTCATGATTTGTACTACCAGTCCTTGGGAAATGTATAAGATTTAGATAATTCTGTTGTTTAATTATTTTATTAAGTTAAATGGAATTGGATAATTGTTAATTGGCTTACCTAGCGGGTTGGGTTAGGTGCCATCACGACTGGTAGATTTTGGATCGTGACATGAATATTAATATAGTAGTTTTTTTCATTATTCATGATATGCATAACTTATTGTTCTAATTTTTACATGTATTGAATTTTTTGCACTGTTTATTATGTACGTAAAGTTATACTACTAACAAACGACCCATTCCGACCGAAAAAAGAAGTCATATTTTCGACGGAATCAGTCGAAAATGGCATAAAAATATATTTTTCAATTTTTATTAATGTTTACAGTGGATATTCCGTATACATCCATCGCAAAATTTGGCGAAAAATACCACGAAGGCATTTGCGACGATTCGGCCGGAAAAATTAAAAATTAAAAAAGAAAAAGATTGCGACCAATTCGGTCGTCTGACTTCGTTGGCCTCATTTGCGATCGATTCAGTCGAAAAAATAAAAAAAATTTAAAAGTTGCGACCGATTCGGTTGCAAAAATTTATTAAAATGAGGTCGGACTTCGTTGACCTCATTTACGGCCGAATCAGTCAATTTTGTTTTAAAAATTTTCAACCGATTTAGTCAGCAATTGTTTTTAAAACCCCTGACCCCTTTATTTTTTCTTTCTCTTTCTTCATTCTCTCTTTTTGTTCTCTCCTCGCTGGAAATCCCCTCCCAAACATCACGGTGCTCCAACAATAGCCCTCTTTCTCCGGCGACACCTCTCTCTCTCTCTCTCCCTTCTTGCGGTCAGTTTTCCCGTCTCCTCAATTTTTTCTTCTTTGTTCCATTTTTTTCTTAACCTCATAGGGAAAAACACATTATTTGCTGAAATTAGTATTTGTAGTTTTTGTTTTTTCACAATATCTTTATTATCAAAACTCGAAAAGCCACAAAGAATTAATAGTGGAACAAGTTTGGGACGATTTACTATGAAAGAAGAGAGTAAATTAGTATGTACTCCCTCCGGTCCACAATAAGTGACCAATTTACTTTTGGCACGCGCATTAAGAAAATACTAAATTCTTTACAAATACATAGTATGACTAAACTACCCTTAATTAAATATTTAACGTGAGGAGTAAGAATTTTTTTTAGGGATATGTACATAAGGGTAATTTTGTAAAAACAAATTGAATTTTTTTCTTGATTATATAAATGGACACTTATTTTGGACCAAAATAAAAAAGCAAATTGGTCACTTATTGTGGACCGGAGGGAGTACTTTTTTATTTTTTTGGTGTAGTAATTATTATTCATATTATGCTTTTGTTACACTTTTCATATTAATTTGGTAGTTGAATCTAGGCTTTAGATTGTTGTCGAAGAATTTGATTGAATCTACGATTGAGATTGTTGGTTGTTTTATTTGGCAGCTAGTTTAGTTAAAAATACAGCAAAATTCTGCTATTTTTTTCCAGATCTGGAGCTGATTTGTGACTAAATCAATTGCAAATTTTTTTCAGATTTGCACCGATTCGGTCGCAAATTATAAGTTTTTAATTTTTTTTACGTAAACTTTTTCACAAATTTGACGACCGATTCGGTCGTAAATTTAAATTATGTATTTATTTTATTATTTAAATTTGAAACCGAATCGGTCGGATATTTACCGACCGAATCAGTCGCAAATCTCTTATATTTAAACCCGTCCTTATTTTTGAATTTGCAACCAAATCTGTGAAAAATTTCCAACCGATTCAGTCGTAAATTATTTGCGACCATGTGTTTTTGGCCGACCTTTTTCGGTCAGTAATCCGTCGGAAAAGATCGATTTTCGACCGATTTGACGGTCAAAAATTTGTCATTTTCTAGTAGTGTTAATTAATATGGTGATGTTGGTGCTGGAGATTCAGCCAAAGATCCTATGGAGATTTTGAGATAAAAGTAATGAATGGAATACGATGAACGAAGATTATATTGAAACTGTTATGGGAGCTGACAATGTAAGGCACTAATTTAGGACATAGATAATGTTAATCTTTGCTCGAAACCAAAAATCAGAGAAGTAAAGTAATGTTAGTTCAATAAACAAAATATAAAATAATTTTCGAGCTCACAAGTTGCTTGTATGTCCTTAAGGAATTTAATTCCTTCATTATTGCCCAAGGTTATGGATTACTTCCTCCTAGTATAGAATGAAAAAACTATTCTGTAATACTGGCACGATATTACAGAACTGCAGCGAACTCAATAAACGGAGCAAATCATGCTTGAGACTTTATTTATTTGAAAAAATAATGCAACAATGTAGAAAAGAGAGGAGAAGATTCCAGATTTTCTATGTATAAAAAATGAGACTAAGCCTCTAAATTTATAGATAATAAAAGGGTGAGATGAAGAGGTGCAATTCAAAAGGTACCTCTTCCATTTCCGATTCATGAAACCTAATAATCCCTCACATGAATGGGGAATAGAAATATGTTTAAAAAATATGCAAAAAACTTGTATGATTCACAAGTAAGGATTAATCGCATATGGATAAGTAGGCATCCCTTTGAACTTTCCGTAATGAGCTTATGTCAGATATACTCGGTCAATCAGTAGATTTTATATCTTTGAACCGTCGAGCTTTTATGTATACCTAGACAACCATAACACAATCAACCTTTAACTATATTTGGTTCTCATTGTTGTGTTCATTTCAGCCATGAACACCGCCTGGTTTCATAAGTGCATAGAGAAATGGCCTTACAAAACTCTTCTTGAAGCGGCTAACACTTCACACTTACGTAGGTGATTCCTCAATGTGTTATCCCGTAGTTACACTATTTTATATATCCCGTATCAAACTTAGAAACCATTAAAAAGCCTTAACATTTTATCCTTGGTACTGAACATTATCTCATCACGAGAATGGACCAAAAAGAAATTTTATTTGGCAATGTTGAACCGTCATTAATGACTTTGTTTTAGCTCTTTGAACCTAGATCTTGCGATCTCCAGTCTTGTAGGTAGAGTTACCTCCATAATAACTTGTCCTCTTCTATAGTCCCATTCCCCTCGATGATCTTTCAGCTACCTCTCTAGTTAGGCCTTTGTTAATAGATCCGACACATTATCGCTTGACTTCACATAGTCAATTATGATAATTCCCCTAGAGAGTAATTGCCTAAAGGTTGTCTTCGTCATATATGATAAGATATTTTGTTATACATAATGCTCCCGGCCCTTCCTATTGTCACTTGACCATCATAATGTATGCATATAGGTGCCAATATGTTGGGCTAAGATGAAATTTCTTCAAGATATTCCAGATCCATTCAACTTATTCACTGGCCTTGTCTAAAGCTATAAACTCATCCTCCATTGTAGAGCGGAAATGCACGTTTGTTAGGACAATTTCCAAGACACTGCTCGTCCACTGAATGTAAAAATATATCCACTGGTGGATTTAGTTTAGGTTGATCCGGTGATCCAATTTGCATCACTATACTCCTCAATAACCGCAGGATACTTATTATAGTGCAATGCATAGTTATAGATATATTTCAAATATTCCAAAACTCATTTTATTGTCATGATAGTTCAATGCAAACTATCGTAGACTAATACGTCTCGACTTTCTATTGCATATCAGATTATTAACTATACTTAATGTAGAAATAATATATTATAACAACAACTGGAATGACTGGCATCAGTTGTGGCCACAACCTTTTAATTTATAACACATTTCACAATCACTCTGCCATTTTCAAGCATTTGTATGTTATTTATTCATACGTCTATACGATATGCAAATTATATCATCTTCATTCATAAAACAAATCCAACTTGCAATGGATTTTGGTCATGTTCATCGGTTGGTTTACGTCATTATAGACCAACGTATTAATACATTCGTTCATGAACGATCATGTTTATACAAAATATACAAACACACTTTTAATGAAAAGTCAAAGCCTTCCAGGTGACATCCTTTCATAAAAGAGCTAAACATTATAAATGTTCAAGAAAGAACAAATCATTTCTGGAAAGGCACACAAATAAATTTGAATTTGTAGTTTCATCACTAGTCATCACTAAGACTGAACAAGTAATGAATTCACCGACTATCGTATCAATATCCACTAAGGATTGGTGGAATTAAAAAAATATGTCATTTAGACATTACGTCTAACATTGGCTTTTATCATACATGAGCTAAAAACCCCCACATTTTAAATATTTCATCAACATATCATTCACATATAGTCAAATAATTACTATATGATTTGAAGTATTCTTAACATAAACTGTAACGACCAGACCGATTGAGCAATTGCACTTCGCTTGGTTGTTTGAAGGCATAAGTAGCTCTGTAGGAAGTATTATGACTTATGTGAATAGTCGGTTTTGGTTTTCAGGTTATTCGGAATTGATTTGGAAGAATGATTCTCAGCTAGAAGCTTTAAATTTGAAAGGTTTGACCAAGTTTTGACTTTTTAGAATTTGACCTCGGATTGGATTTCTAATGGTTCCATTAGCTCCGTTGGGTGATTTTTGGACATAGGAGCACATCCGAATTGTAATTTGGAGGTCCGTAGTAGAATTTGGCTTGAAATAATGAAAGTTGGAATTTT